AAACGCTTGTATTCTCGCATGCGTCTTACTTTTCGTATTCATCTTGTTCTGATGGACGAAACAAACCGCTGGCCTACGTTTGAAAAGTTTTTCAAATTTCTTATTTTCCAAATGTTATATCACAAGGGAATGGGACTTTCGAAGATCTCTTCCGAGTACTGAGATAAAAATAATTAGGAAAAAACGAACTTGCAATGAGAAAACTTCTCACAAATTTCGCAAAGTCTTATTTATGTTGCTTTCTAATGCTAATGGTAATGAGAACAACTTTCTATGTATGCAATATAAGGTGCATATATAAATATTTTCTATTTATTTATTTATTTCAATCTGCAGCAATACACAAAGCCTTCCACTAGGCCAAAAAAAAAAAAAAATATTACCAAAGGAAAAAGACTATTTTGTGTTCCCAAGGCAATTGATGTGTGGTGCATTCAAATTACTACTACGTTGCATAAAATATATTCTGTCTATATTCTGTTCCGTCATATTTACTTTCTTTTTATGTCAAATTCCAGAACAGCTTAAGCATGTCCGTCTATCTGTCTTTCTGTGTAGGGTTCTCTTTGATTGGAAGTTATTGCACACAGGCTGGTATTGAAATTAAACTAAATCGATCAAAGAACCCCACCACAGCACAACCTAATGTGTGACCACATGATTTTTTGCTCGTTTCTTAGAAACCATAACAGATACAAGAATAAAAGTTGGTATTTATATTCTATTCGTCTTCGTGCAGAAGCTGTAAAAAAAAACTTTAAAAAAACGCGTACCCCTACTTAATAATGTAGATTCCATAATAAAGAATATTGAAATTACATTCCTCTATCGTAACGCATCCAAAAAGAAACCTACGTGACCGAACACAGCTCTACATATTATTGACCCGTGTTAAGCGGCGATGAACGTAGAAGACTCGGCCCAATTTGTTATTTGTTTTGATTACATTCCAAGGAGCCATAGCGATTTTTATTCATATTTACATGTTTATCGAAATGGAAAACAGTTACAAGTTTTAAAGGGAAATCTGTCTTGAATATTACTCTATCAGAAACCCAAAATTTTGCTCAAGAGAGTTGAGAAACGCACTTTAATTAAAAATAATTCCTTTCTTCAAACAGTTGAGTTCACGCTCCACTGCGCGTTTCTGCTCTAACCAATTTGGCCCATTTTCAACACTAACCTGCATGCAGAAATTTCCAATGTTTCAACCAAATTTAAAGTCGATTTTTTGCCAGGGGACTGCCAACAACACAACCCACGCCGGCGAACAGAAATGGCTAAATCAATTCAGAATTTCACGCTGATCAAGAGTATGTATACTTTATAGGGTGTCTGAAGCTTCCTTTTGGTTGCTACACACATTATAAGAAAAACAGTGATGGGTATAAAAAAAATAATGCATTATGTTGACATATGAACGATGATTGCTGGACTTTGATGTACTCGTAACTTCGTAGTTACTTGATCAGAGACACGGAATGGTAAAAATTATAGGGCGACGAAAATTTTGATTTTAGATTTAATTAATTACATAAAATATATATAATATTTAGCCATTTAATTTAAAATTAATATCACTGAAATGTATGTTTTTTTGGTTGATTTCATTTCATTGTCTTATACAAGGAAGACGTAATTTTTCCATTTTATTTCAGCTGGAATTATTGGAATAAACTGGAAATTTGGACGTGTTATGCTTTTGGAAATATGGGTAGGTGGGTGAATTGAATGCTATGTTTGCGAGAAATAAGAATGTCTGATAATGCAAACGTCCAGTTTCAATCTTTAGAAGCAAACTTAAACTTCACATATTTAAGAACAAAATAAATGTCAAAAAATTTGCTAACAACCAATCAGCGATTTCATCGTCCATAAAAAGTGCGAGAAACTTTTCCAATTCTTCCAATTCGAAAAGTTTTTTTTTGCATCTGCTATCATTTCCTTATATAATATTTAAAT